AGCGGAGAGAAGATGATGGATATGAAGGGAAGGAGCGCAAGATAGAGAGAGAAAGAATAAGCGGGAGGAGAGGTGTGTGCGGATGGTGCGTTGATTCTCCGCGTTTGTTGTGGATTCGATACGACGAGAAAACGCAGAGTGGTCAACAGGGAGCCAAGATGGGAAGAGGCACCACAGTACACAGCAGCAGGGAACGAGGAGACGTGCGATTCTTTTCCTGGATGCCTGCCCTGGTCCATGTTGCTGTATTATCGTGGCAGATAATCCAAGCTGCTACCGCCGAGCGTCGGTATCTCTGCCCTGGCTGGCCATTGAGCGAGTCGAGGGTGAGGGGGCGCTTTGTGACGAGTCGGGGGGAGAGTCTAGCAGAAAGTCTAGCAAGAGATGGGGATTGGAGACAAGAAGGAGACCGCAACGAGGCCAGCATCGATTCGCCTCGTGATCGTTGTCTGATCCTCGAGCGCCACCAGCTTTTTATGCGTACTGAGGTGTATGCGCGACTGGCAACGCGCTCCTAGGTAAACTTAGGGTACACGCCAGGTACACGCTCGATAGCAAACCTATTTGTCGCTTGTGGCCTTTTAGCGGAGGCAAAATTTTTCGGACCAATCGGATTCGGCCGATATCGCCGTCAAACTCACAGCTTGCTTACAGCCAACTTACAGCCAACTCACAGCCAACCTCTTCCACAGCGCCTCTCAACGACTGGCACAACAACACTGGTATTAGTCTACAGCTTCCTACGTGCTTGGCTTCAGTGATCCAAGCTCCCGTTCATCTACCGGGCCTTTTACCTCGCTCCTGGCAACTCCGTGAACCCCGCCAATATTATATGTACGCGAGCCTCGGGCAGTCTCGGAACTCCAGTGCTTTGTGGGGAATGATAATATGCCGGATGGCCCGTTTGAACAAAATTTGAGTAGACGTTTTTTGACGTTCCTACATAGCCTCGAGGGCATCGGCGACGTACAGCGAAGTAGTGAGCGCCCGAGGAGTAGCGACCCCGACTCTCCAGTTCAGGCATTCGTCCTGCTGGTTTCAAAAAGGTAAGATAACAAGATCACAAGGTAATGCGGGCGCGGGGAGTCGAACCCCGTGCTGCAGCGATAGAGAATGACCGATGACTTCCATAAGTACCGCCACTGTGCACCGCGCACCACACCCGACTTGGGAACATCAGACTTTTGACATTTTGATTGTGAGGTTGTACAACCCCGAAAAACCCCGAAAAACCGCTGAAAACCTCGAAACCTGAAAACGTCAAAACCCTATGTCCCGAGCCCACAAGCTCGACCGTTCAAGCCCCCGCCAGGGCAGGATTTTGCTTTTTCTCACAAATATCTTTGGGGAACAGATATATTAGAGTCCTTAGAAAGTTTCCAGAGCCCCCTTTTGTGACTCTGGGAACATTTATTACCTTCATTTACTGCCAAGTTGTGGGTCATTTGAGGTTGTGAGGTTGTCGGGAATACCGGCAACCTGAAAACCCCGGAAAACCCGCAATCAAAATGTCAAAAGGCTGATGAACCTTGTTCAGACGCTAGCTAACTAACCAACATATACACTCCTTTCACTAAAAAGCTCTCTTTCGATGACATAAATTGGGGCGCGGGGAGTCGAACCCCGTTCTGCGGCTGATACGAGTTCTTATGCACGATAAAGTACCACCGCCGTGCACCGTGCACCACACCCGAGTTGGGTATCCTGTTCCAACATGTCGTGACCAACTAACTTATGCGCTCATTTTGCCAAAAAAAAAAACTCATTATTGTTGCACGCGAATTCGGGCGCGAGGAATCGAACCCCGTCCTGCAGCGATAGGGAAACTCCTGGTCTTCGTAAATACCGCCGCTGTGCACCATGCACCACACCCGAGTTTAGTACCTTGTTCAGACTCCGGATAAGTTACTCACTTCGAGTTACTCACCTGTTTTTAACAGCAGCAACGAAAACTTTTTTGTTCAACACGACCAGTTCGGGGGCAGGGAGTCGAACCCCGGACTGCAGCTGAAATCTTTGAAAGGTCATTCGGTTTTAAGGATTGCTACTATGCACCGCGCACCACACCCGAGGTGGGTGTCCTGTCCAGGCCCAGGGAACCAACTAACTTGTACGCTCATTTTGATCAAAAGTGTTTCCCTCCGACGGACTCGGGCTCAAGGAGTTGAACCCCGTCCTGCAGCCAATACCAATTCTGCTGTTTGAAAGCATCACGGCTGTGCACCACGCACTACATTCTAGATCAGTATCATTCTTAGCCCCTGGCTGAATAAGTAATTCGTTGTTAGAGCTAACAAAAAAATTGTGGAATTCGGGCACGAGGAGTTGAACCCCACATTGCAACTGAAATCTTCATCGTCTGTCTAGCGTGCACCACACCCGAGTTGAGTTCTTACCCTGTTCAAACTCAGGATATCCAACTAATCCATACACTCATTTTGATAAAAAGCACTCACTTCTCCGCAGCACGGCAGTCGAACTCCGTCCTGCAGCTGATACCAATTCTTGTGTGCGGTAAAGCACCACCGCCGTGCACCGTGCACCACACCCGAGGGCCGAATTGAGTATCCTGTTTCAACAGCTCACTTGTTTTCACAGCCCCAATCAAAACGATCCAGTTCCCATCCGAATTGGGGCGCAGGGAGTCGAACCTTGTCCCGCAGCGAGAGGTATTGGAATACATAAGTACCGCCGCTGTGCGCCGTGCACCACACCAGAGTTGAGTACCATTTTTCAGCTTGAGATCAACCGCTCACTGTTTTCAACTGCAGTGCCTGAAAATATTTCATCTCCATACCAAATTCGTCGGGGCGGGCAGTCGAAACCCGTGCTGCAGCTGAGGCGTAACATCTCCTTCTAAAGCGCTGCTGCCGCGCACCGCGCACCACACTCGAATTGAGTCCTTTGTTCACAGAATAAACAGCTAATTTACTCACCTGCTGCCAACCACGATTAAAAATTTTGGTGTCGTACGCATTCAGACGTAGGGAGTCGAACCGCGTACTGAAACTGAAATGCCTCACTTACACGCCCTGTAAGCATCATTGCTATGCACCGCGCACCCGAGTTGAGTACCTTATTCAGACTCGAGGTAACTCGCTCGCTGTGCTCACAGCAACGACCAAAAAATTGGAATTTCCGATACTACCAACTCATTCGGGCGCGGGGAGTTGAACCCCGTCCTGCAGCGATAAGCAACTCTGGCATGGGTCAAGTACCGCCGCTGTGCGCCGCGCACCACATCCGAGTTGAGTACTCCGTGCAGACTCCGGGTAGGTGTGTACCAACTAATTATAACTCACTCGTCGGCTGCTCACAGCCCTGCCCAGAAGACATTCCATCTGCAGGACAATTCGGGTGTGGGGAGTCGAACCCTGTCCTGCAGCTGATGTTTATCGAGTGCGAAAGTACCGCTGCTGTGCGCCAAGCACCACATCCGAGTTGAGTACATAGTTAAGTTTTTTAACTCACCATTTTTTATGTACCAACAGCAACCAAAAAAACAATCTCTTCCACGGCGATGATTCGGGTGCGGAGTCGAACCCCGTCCTGCAACTTGAACTGACCTCAGTTCCTATGCCTCGCTGCCGTGCACCGCGCACCACACCCGAGTTGAATATCTTGTTCCGATTCGGGATAACCAACTAACTGACTCACCTATTTTTAACAACAGCGACGAAAAAGTTGTTCATCACGACAAATTCGGCCGCAGGATGTCGAACCCCGTCCTGCTAATTTTTCACCGCAGCGTTTAAACAGCTTGTGTTACTCAGTCAACTCAGGCGCGGGGACTTGAACCCCGTCCTACGTGATATTCCGAAGACCCGCTGCCGTGCACCGCGCACTACACCCGAGTTGATTATCTTATTCAGACTTCAGGTAAGTCACTCAGCTGTTGGCGCCATGGAAACAACAAAAACCGGTTTTTTACGCCAAATACGGGCGCGGGGAGTCGAACCCCGTTTGCAACTAGAATTATATATTGTCGTAAGCACCCCTGCTGTGCACCACACACCACACCCGAGTTGAGTGTCCTGTGTAGACCCTGAGTAACAAACTACCTTATGCTCGCCTGTTGCTTACAATGACGACTAAAAAGATAGATGAACTCCGAACGAATTCGGGCGCAGGGAGTGGAGCCAGAGCTGCGGCTGAAATCCATCATTTTTCAAAAATCGCCGCTGTGTTCCATACACTACACCCGAGTTGAATACCCTGTTCCAACTCGGGATAGCCGATTAACTTACATACCTGTTTTAACACCAGCGACCAAAAATCTCTTCATTCCGTCCCCATTCGGGGACGGGGAGTCGAACCCCGTTCTGCGGCAGATATTTGGGTATCAGGGTCAGGCACCGCCGCTGTGCACCACGCACCACACCCGAGTTGAGTACTCTGTTCAGACTCGAGATATCACACCAACTGACCTATACACATGCTTTTGACTGCAACAACCGAAAAGACTGGTATGCTCAGAATCCGGGCGCGCAGTCGAACCCCGTCCTGCTGTGCAGCTAACAGCCTACAATATTTCAAACAATGCCGTGCACCGTGCACCACACCCGAGTCAAGTAGTCTTTTCGAACTAGGGATAACCAACTCTCCTTTTTCACCGCAGCGTTTAAACAGTTTGTGTTACTCAGTCAACTCAGGCGCGGGGACTTGAACCCCGTCCTGCATGATATTGCACTCTCCGAAGGCGCTGCTGTGCACCGCGCGCTACACCCGAGCTGGTTATCCTATTCAGACTTCAAGTAAGTCACTCAGTTGTTGGCGCATAGAAACAACAACAAAAGCCAAATTTTTCCCGCAGAATTCGGGCGCGGGAAGTCGAACCCCATTTGCAGGTGGAATTCTAGATTTTCGTAAACACCGCTGCTGTACACCACGCCCCACACCCAAGTTGAGTGTCCTGTGTAGGCCCTGAGTACCAAACTGCCTTATGCTCGCCTGTTGCTTACAACACCGACTAAAAAACAGATGGATGAACTCCGAACGAGGTCGGGCGCAGGGAGTCGAACCCCGAGCTGCAGCTGAAATCTTCCACTGATTTCATTCTTCAGAAACCGCCGCTGTTCCATACGCTACACCCGAGTTGAATACTGGGGATAACCAATTATCGGGTTCTTTTTCTCGAATGTGTTACCCCACACTGGGAGCTGTTGTGTTCAACACCTTGCCTTTGAACATGTGAGTCCATGATTCCTAATGATCAGGATTGCTGTCAAGCTTGAATTAATTTGGCCTTGCTGTGTTCAACTCACACCTGTTTTATTGCAGTTTGCAAAATAGTTGGCGGTCACGCGTTTTGATCACAAAACGCCATTGTAAAGCCCCCAGCTTCAGAGCCTTATATCTCGACATCCACCCCGCAGAACATGGTGAACCCATATATCATTCGAATCCCCTCATCGAGCTCTAGAGCGCCCCGTGGACCATTTTGTATCTTAACGACTTCCTCGCCAGCCTAGGCCGAGGACACGCTTTTCATGTGCGCGGGCCATTGCGCTCAATCTATCGAGAATCCGGGCGGACTGGGTGGATGGGGCAGGTCTCATAGGTGGTACCGAGGGCGCCCCAACGAATCGGATGAGGTATGTCGCTGTCAGCACTCCATAATGTATGATTTGACATGCCAGCAAATGCGTAGGAATATTCACTGCGTTATCATGCTCAATCTCGCCCACTTTCGACGGGGACTTGAGGCACATGTTAGCTCAGACCTAGGATTATATTCCTTGGTGCACGAATGCCGCACAAATTTATATTTCAACATCGCACACTCATGCAAGCTTTGATCAAAAATGACTTGTATTGCGCAGCGACGTGGTATTCATGAGTACTTATAAGAGTCCCCCTATTTAATGAGTGCAAATACCAATTTTGCACAAGCTTCCTGCAAGCGTAGGTCTGACAACAGCCAGAGAGAAATAACCCTAAAATGAGTTAGTCAATATGCGGCGTTGGAGACACAAACTGAACCCAGGGTGAATGGGAGCACCTCCCATGGACTACTCAGACTCATCTAGACACCTCAGGCAGCATATACATTGCATCGGCGTATCGTTGTGGCTCATGCGCGTAGAAAATTGCCTCTTGAGCTAACCAGACGGCGAAGGCATCAGATGACAAATCTGAAGCTGGGGCGACCTCGGGCTCGATGAGAGGATCCGAATGATATATGGGTTCACCATGTTCTGAGCGGTGGATGTCGAGATATGAGGCTCCGAAGTTGGGTGCTTTACAATGGCGTTTTGTGACCAAAACGCGTGACCGCCAACTATTTTGCAAACTGCAATAACACCAGCAACCAAAAATCTCTTCATTTGATTTTCCATCCTCACTCGGGCACGGGGAGTCGAACCCCGTCCTGCAGCTATATCCCCGCGCTGCAAGTACCGCCGGTGTGCCGCGCACCACAGCCGAGTTGAGTCCTCTGTGCAGACTCCGGATGTACCAACTAACTTTACTCACAGCACTGCCCCAAAATATTACATCTGCAGGTGAATTCGGGTGTGGGGAGTCGAAACTTTCAACTCCGTCCTGCAGCTGATGTGAAAGCACCGCCGCTGTACACCGCATGCAACCGAGTTGAGTATCATGTCCCGATTCGGGATAACTGACTAACTTCTACTCGCCTGTTTCTCACAGCAATGACCAAGAAGACAGATAAAATCCTAACCAATTCGGGCGTAGGGAGTCAAACCAGTGAAATCGTACAGTAATTGACTGAACCGAATACCGCGTGAGCAAATAAGGGTAAAATCCGTGAGCACAGAAAAGCCAACACCATCTCTGCATACTGCGCGACGTTGCGTACATCCATAAATGCCAGACCAGGAATTATATCTCGTCGCCCTGATTTGTTACCGTGTTGATGCTAAGGTCCCGCAAGATTCTAGACTCGTAAGCAGACTGGTCACGAGTCTAGCAAGATTCTACATTGCCGAGGTGTGTCTCGATTTCGTCTCACTTGTGCTTAGTTGCCGCGTATGTTCAGAATCCAACCACTAGCTCATTTTCGGCAGAACTCGAAATACATATCTATGATAAGGGCATTTAGCTCTTTGTGCAGAGCTTGGTCTCGTAGTATATCGTCCACAGTGATCAAGAGGTATGGCGCCTAATCGACAATTAAGACACGTCCTACGCACCACCTTCGAAACAATATGTGTTATTTCTTGCTGGTCCTGACTTCGCGCAATCACCTCCACTGTCGTGATCTTGGACTCTCGTAGGCTTACAGATGCCAATTTGCTGCTTGAGACCCTCATACCGTGCGTTGCGGCACACTCCCAGAGTCTAAAGATGGAAATAAATAACAGGGCTTATCGGAAATGGCAACCAGGACTCACTGCAGCCATGCGGGGGGCTCTGCGCAATGCTCACGACTGCGATGCCTAGTAGAGATTGGCTCCGGGGCGAGTGCCAGGAAGGGGAAGAGATTTGCGGTTCGTAGATAAGCCTTGACCGCTTGCTTTCGATCTTGATCAAGTCCGCCAACTGTAGTTGATAGCGTGATTTGCTGTCCTGCGACCCAGACAGCACTAATCATAACGGGTGGCCTAACCTGTGTCACCACGCTGATGATGTCTACAATGCTGCCGAAGTATGCAAGGGTTTGCAGCTCATTCTTGGGCCACCCCGCGCTGATCCTATATGCGGCCTCGAGCCGTCCCAGTAAAACTCCTGTGAACCCCCACTCAGTAGGTGTTTTTCCGCACACCCAATGCATGGCTTACCAAAGAGACGCATTGGGTCTTCCACCGTGATCGACGTTACTGCTCCAGGCATTTCGACTTCGACTGCCGGAAATATCGTATCTGAGCCACTTTTCACATTGTCCTCAATCTCCATGTTAAATGTTGCAAGATTCAGACTCACACCCAGTCGGTAAGATGACGGAGAAGGTCGTCTTCCGCACTCGAAAACGACCGAGATTGGCGCAATCGGTTGGTTCTTATCTGATGCAAATGGGAAAAGGCGCGAGAAAGGACAAAGCGCAACGTACCTGAGGAACTAGCTGCAACCTCCCCTGCACGGTAATGCGGGGCAGTGGGTTGCTCCACTTGGTCATTGGGAGGAGTAAACCACGGCTGGGGACCAAAATCCTGGCAAAGGTTCTCACTATCGGGCTGACCATGGTGGGTTGTCACAATAAAAGAAAGTGGCTGATAGAAAAGTGGTCGACACGAAAAGTGGCTGACAGTCTACCAATACGATCGATGCATGTTTGTGACCCTTGGCCATCAAGGTGCTTTATATCCTGGAGCGTTCGACGAGGTTGAATACGGCTTGTCGGCCAAACCAGACAAATCACAGGATCAACTGACCCGAATGATCGTCCAAGTCGGGACCGAACCTCCGGTGATTTGTCAGCTTATTCGATGTCTCGGACAGACGTTTAAATTTGATGCTGCGCTTTGCTCTCAGCATCTCCCCTGCTCTCACCTCGCGTTCTCAACTTCAGCCAAAAATACGGCCCAGAGTGAGCAATCTCCTTTTTGTTGAACCTCGAGCATTCGATTGAGGTTTCCGTTAGCATCTTCAATGCTGCCAGTGGTCGTCTGATCATTCCAGGCTTTGTTCTGGAAAGTACAACCCACCCGCCTCACCCGCCCCCGTAATTTCGCACCCTCTGCTGTATACCGACGACTGAAAAATTTGCCCAGCAGGCAATCTTCAACGCTTGGTACTCGATCTCGAACCCTCCTCGCTACTGCCAGTCGTGTGACTGGGCAGCTTGGGAGGGCACTGAAATGTGGCTACCCTGCGATCCACATACGGGCTATCCGGACCGCGAATCGCCTATTCTAGGTGTAGAGGCTCTCTTCAATGGTCCCTTCCGCCTTCCCGCTCCGCTCGAGCCCGTATTATTTCATGATGCTGACGGGTCCGGGGATTTCGACTGCTTTGTATTCCACGACGGGGAAGGGACTTACTATTTTTACGACCACGACAGGCGCACGGTGCGACGATACCACGGGAGATTTCACTCACATTACGCATTTCTACATGCGCAATTTGATTCGTTCGACGAAGAGGCACCAGTAAGCACCCGGGCGTCGCAGTTATACGCGCGGCAGTGTGACTTGTCGTGGGGGCCGCACTCTTTGACAGCCACAGAGAAGGCCGAGCAGTTGAAGGCTGTGAAGCAAGAGCGAGAGATAGAACTCCGGAATCCACCTCCAAACGTCCTTTACACCGAACTCTTCCCAGAGCGGGAAGATTACAAAGTAATGGTGGTGGTTGCCCCGAAAATTTAGGTCCAGTATGAGGGCGTTGAGAACACCTAGTAGTATCTTGTAGACACACGCTTAATTATCGTGATGGTCGTACCTTGAGAAAAAACCCGAAATTGAGTCTGACGGCTGCTGTAGGCCCATCTTCGTGTTTAAATAGAAAGACAAATTGCGGAGACGAAGCACTTTGTTTGAGAAATCTGTGAAACAACATCAGGCTGCACACCAGTAGGAAGAAGGCAAAAAAGGAGATCATTGACATTCTCTTGATTGGATACCAGGAGTTGGACCTGGACACGCAGCGTAGAGTAATGAGGAGAACAAAAGCTATATTTTTACTAGTCTGCAGCTTCCCGCGTGCCACTTGGCTTCCTCCTGGGCCTTTTACCTTGAAATTTCTTCAAGTGTTGAACCCTTCCCTGATGATTCTGCTGCTCCGCGTCCTACTTCAATGGCCTCGGGGGCATCGGCGACGTACAGCGAAGTAATGGGCGCCCAACCCCTGCTCTTCAGCTCAGGCATTCGTCCCGCTCGGTTTGGAAAAAAATTCACAAGACAGTCAGCACAACTTATTCGGGCGCGGGGAGTCGAACCCCGTCCTGCAGCGATAGTTTTTTGCAGTGACAGCAGGAATAAAGTACCGCCGCTGTGCACCGCGCACCACACCCGACTTGAGTACCCTGTTCAGACTCCGGGTCTCTCCGAGTCGCTCAGCGCTCAGCCGCGAGGCGACGTTTCGGCTACGATCCGTGCCTACTCCATGCGAGACAATGCTGTGGAGAGGACGAGTAAGGAGGCGCCGAATGGGAGGTCTTGTGATGCAAATCCCCTTGGCCTCCCCACCCTGACATG